GTTCTTTTTTTGTCCCCTCTCCTTAATAGTCGTTGTTCTCATATTATCCAACACTCGGTAACCCCTTGCGTTCTAGGGGCTTTATTGCCTTTGGTCTTCAAAAACTTAAATGCAATGTCATTCGTTATCTTCTGTTTTCTTAATTCTTCTTCTTTTATTGTCTTCTCTCCTTAATAGTAGTTTTTCTCATATTCTCTGACACTTAGTAACCCCTTTGCATCCTAGTGGCTTTATTGCCTTTAATCTTCGAAAACTTAAATACAATATCAATCGTTATCTTCTGTATTCTTAATTCTTATTCTTTTACTGCCCCCCTTCCTTAATAGGAGTTTTTGCTCATATGCTATAACATTCAGTACCATCTTGCATCTTAGTGGCTTTATTACCTTGCTTGCGATGTAATCATTAAAAAATTATATAGATATATAATCCATGTGTAATTATAACATAAATACTTATTTACATAAGCAGCTATCCCTTATATCCAAGGACTTGATTTCAAAAGGTCAATTATTTGATCTGAAAGTTAAAGAATTTCCTGATATATTCTACTGGTCCATTTGAAAATCAGCCAAGAACATATTTCTGTTTAAATAACCCACGGAAAAAAAAATACCCGGAGATGTCAATCAATTAAACCATGTAAATTTTCTTTGCGTTTTAATTTAAGTTAAACGACAATCTAGAAATATTTTTTTGAAAAATCCCAGTTAAAGATTAACTAGAAATATTCCATAAATACGTTATAAAAAATCAATCACTGCTTCGTTCATCTGAGGCATTGGTAAATGTAAATAAAACTGGTAGGGATTTATTCTCTGTTCATTTATATAGGGAAATTATTTGTTTATGAAAAGCCATTGATTTTAAGTGTATGTGAGTGTTTCTTTGGTTGAAAAAGAAGATGGCGTAAGAGAAAAGACTCCCAATACAACGTACGGGAGGGAGAAAGAGATGGAAACCTTAAAAGAAATGGAAGATTCAAAAGAAGGAAAAAAAACTTCAAATGACTCATTTTAAATTAAATCCAAATAAAGTAAATAATATGAATAAAAGATGGAAGGAAGGAAATGTGAATGAAAAGCAAAGAAATAAAAAAAAGCCCTAATAGTTCTGTCAAAACTAAAACCAAGACGACTATTAGTAAATAATTTTTTAATCATTTCATCCCAAGCAAGGCGATATAGCCCCTAAGATACTAAATAGTTAATGAGACTGAAGATAGCTATAAAAAGAATTTGTTGAAGTGAAAGACCAATAGAAATAAAAGTATTTAAGTAGATACATGATGGCGATTGATGTTGCCTTTGCATTTTTGCAGATAGAAGCTGACCGGAAAGCAAGAACCCAAAAGAGAGCCCAATAAAGAAGGAGAAAAGAAGATACGATTAGCGTAGAACTTGCGGTTGCACTTAGTAATCTAAACCGTAAAATAATGAGACCTAATTGCCAATCTAGTAATGCGCTTAAATTCTGAAAGTCAATGTACCAAAAAATAAAGCTAGTTAGAAAAATATTTATAGAAATAGCATAGAGAAGTTACGTTATTGGTCTTCTACAGTTATCTACTCTTTACGGTGTATTCCAACCCAGAATATATATTTTTAGATTATAAGAAATGTTTAGATAATAATGCTTTAGTGGTATACGGATTACTAATTAACCTATAGATGGGGTAGAAGAGATGGATTCATACCATCCCCAAGTGTATTTGCGCGTAAGTCAATATAACGATCCCAATGCGAACTGAACTCCGCTCTCCCTTTGACAATTGCAAGCCATTATCCATTACAGCAACTGCACATCCAAGCTTACAGCGCTTGATATACCCAAGGGGTCACCCATCAAGGTATTGACTAGATTCAACATTGCTTAACTTCAGTAATCGTACGGGTACAGGCGTTTCAACATGATGTGACTGTAATCCTAAATCAAAATTAAAGGATGTAGGGAGGCACATGACTGCCATTGACGTTGTATTTATATCTTTGAAGATTGTAGTTGAGCAGGAAGAAAGAATCCAAAAGGATGAGAAGGATCTATTCGTATAGAACTTGCGGTTGCGTAATTTCAACAGAAAAATAACGAGATCTAACTGGCAATCTAGTAATGCACTTAAAATAAAATGCACTTGAAGCCAAAATACCAATGAGGAATGCCTTTCAGATCAATTGTTAGAAAATATATTTGAAGGATAAGCATGGAGAATCTACGTTTAAAAGTGATTGAATCCGATATTCCAAGTTGGGACCTATAATATTGCAGATTCTTTGGATCTTTCACAGAATCGGATAAATAGGATTCCAAGAAGCTGGGTGAGAGTTTTACAGGTGAAAATTTCGAAAGGAAGACTAGTTTTAATAGAATAGAACTATACAATGAAATAACTGTAAGTATCTCAATTAGTTTAGTGGTGTTTTAGATATTAAATATTTTCTAGGATGGACAATTAACATACAGTTGCTCGATTTGGACAATTTTCCTGTTACATCTGGTTAAA